ATAAACTAGTTTTATTTAAGAAGGGACTTGTATCGCTAAAGGTTCCTCGTAAAAAATTTTACGGAAAATTAACAAACTAACGACCAGAGACATAACAATATTAAATTTTGACAAAGGTATAGGTGGTTCTAACATAGAATGTTGATCAAAGAAAGTTTTCTTTCATAAATTATTTAGGCAGAGTATTCTTGATGAGTACATTGAAATGGACAGCAACTGCCTACTGTAGAAAAAAGAAGTGTAGAGGACAACGTTTCGAAAGTCTTGTAGAAGATGAAGACGATTCTTTATTTGTTGATTCTCTGGTACAGTAACATGAAGAGCAACTTTTTGAAATCATGTAAAACATATAGTTGAGATGAGAAAAATGCTAGGTTTGTGAGGATCCTGTAGAAAAATACATCAAAGTCTAGAAGTAGCAGTCATTTTGACTTACAGCTTCCACCAGCTTTGGTGAAAGCAATATTGGCATTTTCGTTCCATTCTAGGGTCAAAGAAATTGATAGATTCTTCACTGGGAAATACTCGATACTCCTAATGCTAGCTCAAATGATGACACGCTATGTGCAGGAGCATGAGGCTGTAGAGAAGGATCATTGTGACAGTAAGGCTCGAGACTTTCAGGCTAGTCACTTTCACCATGAATGGTCTGATGGCCCCGAGAGTCTCAGAGGTTAATGGTCTGCAGTTATCCAGAATCTCACCACATTCTCTTCACTACCATCTGGTCGTTAACTAACAGAGTCCAGGTCGAGTAAGAAAGAAATGGGGAGTGAGAATTCCACATTAGTGACTGGAGTAGATCATACACAGCATGGGTAGAACTGATCCCTCCACTCTTAAGAACTCATTATCACTTACGCCTCCTTTTCCTATAGACTTTTATCAGCAACAGACTTCACCTATGAAAATAATAGTCAACTGTCAAAGAAGTGTCACATATCACTCCTAGCAACTTACATTTGCATACAGAACTGAGCTCAAACTGATTTATGTTAATTGAGAATATGTATCAAGAAAATTGAATTTTTAAAATATCATAATCTGTCAAACAAAATATTTCTGCATATATAACAAAACACGTGGTTGCCCTGAATTTAAATTCATCATGTTCAGACAATTTCACTTTGCTATTTGTGTTTCAGACAGGGATGGATTGGGACACCGAGCAAAATCCCGGTGGGCCCGTGAGTCAGTGGGGCACAGTGCCGCCTTGGCCGGTACTACAGAAGTTGATATATTTTGATAACCTGATTGGCCTGTCTAATTCCAATACTAGTCTTCATTACTGACCAACCTACTGCACTTTACATAAGTTGTAGGTGCTTATACATGTATGTTTCATGTCGGGAGTCATCAACTGTACAATCAAATTAGTAATGTCCTAGCCCCCAGGCCCTGTAGGTGAGAGCCAACATAAGTTCCAGCGAATATACTTGAAATTTCGCGTTCCATACTGTACTCATACACCCAACGTTCGCCTCTATGGCTTGAATCTAAGCCTCAATCATTTTATTTTTTGTTGTAAAGAACAAGCTCTTTCAAAGGCTGAGGCACATTAATTAGTGATTATCAATTTATTTAATATATATATTATGCCCAAAAAAATATTTTTGTAATGGTATTATGATAATTAAGGGTGTAAATAAAGGAAATCTAAAGTCGAAGTCAGTGCTACTATACCAGCTTTAACCAAGCAGACATTTATTTGACATTTACTCAGTGGCGTGGGTAGTGGACACACTCTGAAAATCACGGAGAAAACATAAGTAAGATTCTTTTGTATTTAATCATACTTACTATGTAGCTGATTATTCGTTATTATTAAGACAATATAAATTAGCATACAATGACTTTTCGTTCAAATTAGATCGAGAAAAGTTGGTTTTAAATTTTGTAGCGTCATCTGTTACCTAAATAATCGTGACTATTGCTTATTCATTAAAAATGTAAATGTTTCGAATTCCGTTATTAGTTTTATCTTGTTTTTTTATCCTAAATTTATTCTAAATTATTGGTTTCTCTGTGATCCTTCTTCCGATTTTGGTTTTGTTAGTGGGCGGCCGCCCCGCCATTATTTCAATATACATTTTGAAATTTTATTTTATTTAATGTGAAAAATGTGTTCAACAGTTTGCTATTTATTAATCAATAGTGTGGGGCATTGCCAAACCCAACAATCTCTTATATATATTTTAATTTATTATATTTTTCTGTCTAGTTTGTAGGTAATTTACATCTTCGTGTTATCATACTAACACGATTACATATTTTTGGAGTTTACTTCAAGCTTTATACTATGAGAGTTGGAAAATTTTAATCTGTCACAAAAAGTCAAGACATATTTAAAGTTAGTGCTGCCAGTTCTTCTTCTGTGCTGGAGCATCATGAAGCACAAAGTGAAACTCAAGACACAATAACTGAAAGCTCTCAGGTGCATGATCATTCTGCAGCACAAGAATCCAAAGATGAAACTCATGAGGTCGCATGTGAGGAGAATCAGTGTGACAAGGCAGGCACTATACCTCGATTTCTACAAGAAAAATTTATATACAACAGGAAGAAAATGCTGATCTTTTTCCCAGACCAAGAGTAAATGAGAGAGTTTTCTTTTTTCAATCACATCCAAGACAACCACAAGATGGTAGTTTTATCCCATTTTCATCAAAAAGTATATTTAGGAGAAAAAATGGTTCTCAGTATTATTGGTTATCATACAGTAAATCTAATAATGCACTCTACTGTACAGTGTGTTTTGTATATAGCAAAGACCATTAAA